TTCCAGAGGTCTTTTTCTTACTTATTTCTGACTTAATTCCACTACGTTTAAAGGAAACACTCTGTATGATTTCAATTATTTTACAAGTGTTGACATTTGTATTCTTCTGTTGCTGGATGGAGTGATCTAAAAATTTCAATTAGGTCAAGTTGGTTCAAGTATGCTATATCTCTATTGGTTTTCATCTACTTGATCTATTAAATACTAGAGAATGATGTTAACATCTCCAATAATAGTGGTAAATTTGTTTATGTATTTTTAATGTATTTTTAGCTGTTATTAGATTATTAGAACATTTATGTGCCCTCGACTAATCAATACCCTTTATCATTATAGGTCTTACTTTTTCCTGGCAATATTCTTTATTCTTCTGATTGCTTCATTTGATGTTATACAGTCACTCCAGCTTTCTGATTTTCATATTGCATGGTATGTCTTTTTCATCTTTTTACTTTTAATCTATGTCTTTTTATTAAAAATGGATTGATTGTAGACTGCACATAGCTGCGTCTTTCCATTTTTATGCTACATGATGTCCTCTGTTTTTTAACTATTATGTTTAGACAGTTTTCATTTAAGGTTATTGTAGGTAAACTTGCATTTAAATCTAGCATCTTGCTATTTGCTTTTATTTTTGTCTCATTTGTTCTTTGTTTCCCATTTCTGCCTCTCCTTTTATATTATTTTAATTACTTCATTTTATACCTACTGGCTTATTAAAGCTCTTTCAAGTGAGCAGTAAGATTTGGAAGAACTTTCCACTGACTAACTCCTGTCTTCGTAAATGATACTGGGTAAGGCAGCACAGTGAACAGTAGGAGTATTCTTGAAAGCCAACCTGTGTGACTAGCAATAACTTAACTATAAATTGGAGTGAATCACATGAAAATGTGTTCCACTGAATCCAAACCAGATGTACCTATACTGGTTTGATTAGTGTCCCCGCAAAATACATGTCTACCCAGAAACTCAGAATGTGACCTTATATGGAAATAGGATCTTTGCAGATGTAATTCATTGAGGAAATTGAGATAAATTTAGGGTGGGCACTAAATTCAGTGACTGGTGTCTTTATGAGAAGAGGAGAAGACACAAAAAGCCACATAGAGAAGAAAGCCATGTGAAGACAGAGGAAAGCAAAGACTGGAGTATTCTGACACAAACCAAGTAACACCTGGGACCACCAGAACCTGGAAGAAGTAAGGAATGATTCTTTCCTAGAGTCTGCAGAGGGAGCATGGCCCTGCGGACATCCTGATCTAACTTCCAGATCCAGGACTCTGAAAGAATAAGTTTCTGTGGTTTCAAGCCACCCAGTTTGTGGTACTTTGTTACGGCAGCCCTAGAAAATGAGGACAGAACCGCAACTCCGTATTCGCTTAGCTGGGTCCCCAGAATGCTCACAGCCACTCCAGCACTACCTGCCACTAGGACAAGTAAGAGAAATGTAAAGTGAGAATGAAAAGCGACATCGGCCCAACCAATTGCAATTAAAATTCTTAATTTTGAAAAAATTCATAAAGCATATTTTAAAAAGAAAAACGCATGACTATGTACCTTGGAGGACCCCATGCAAGTAAGGGGCCCTGCAGCTTAAGTTTATTAGCTTCACGGTAAATCTACTTCTGGATGCAGGAGAGGAGGGTTAACTGCAAATGCGATGTCCTTGAGATGACTAGAGAGTGAGTATATGTAAGGAATGACCATACAAGTGGGCATGGAACCTGTGCTGGGAAAGAGGGGTAATAAGACAAAATGTGTGTGTGTGTGGGGGGGGGGTAATGGATGAGAAACATGTGTTAGAGTTACTCTAGTAGAGGTCATGCTGGGGTCAAAATTTGTTGGAGTTGTACTATATGGCGTGCACTGGAAAGATAGAATTTGGAGTGAATGGCCAGAGTGGGGTCCTTGATACAGAGATGTTAGAGCTAATGCAATTATTGGCAATGGAAAGGTCTAGGGTATGATCACAGAAGTGGGTGGCTGAGAGTGGGTCAGACGTAAAAACATTGGAACGACACAGAAGTTAGCTAACTGAGGCCAGGGTGCCGAGTGGATCTGCTGCACAGCTGTAGAAATTTCTACATGTGATGAGAGAATTAGTGGTAAACCAGTGCAAAATGAAGAGGACAGATGGTAAATGATGAAGAAAAGAGGCATGATGGTGCCCTAGTTTGACAGCATATGCTTCAAAGAAGCTGGAGTTATTTAGAGAAAAGTAACAAGCGATGGTCTGGAAGTGGCACAAGATCAAGGAAGATAGCCTCTTCACCTTCCTACCCGGTATTAGAGGAAATAATGGGAGGCACAGGGCTGGATCTGAGAGGGCTGAGTTCTCAGTGAACAGTCAGGTTCAAGTCAGAGCAAGAAAAAGAAGAATCATGCAAGGAAGGCAATCAGAATATACAGAGCCTTTTGCTGAAAACAGAGCATGAGTTTCAGGTGACAACTGGAAATGATTGTGGTATCACAGCAGGTTAATATTTTGGTCAGATGTGTAGGCCAAATTGAGATGAAAGCCCAGATGATGATGATGGACAACCTATAAAGTGTGGACTTCCTGTCAAGTCTCAGATAAACAGGGTTGTGAGGCAGCAACAAACTTTTTGGGATAGTCTCTTAAGGAAAAGTGATTAATCGAATTTAATTAAAACCTCTTTCTTGACTGGGCTCTATCCAAGTTCTCATTCCCTGTGGGGGCAGCAGCTTCATTTTGTACTTATCAGTCGCTTTGATTTCTTCACTTTCAACAAATAAAAGTTTATGGCTTTTAAAGCTTAATTTTATACGAGAAGGTTTTAGCTCATTGTCTGTCCTATCAGAACTTAATTTTCACGCCCCAAGTCCTTTATTTATGCCATTTTTTTGTTGCCTAAAGTTGTCTGCACATTTTTTGTTGTAATTTTTATAGCCTTAATAAAGGATGAATGGGTATTAATTTTACTGAGTTCTTTCATATGTAAATATGTACTTCTGTCACCATTTGAGAGTGAATGGTGTCAAGAGAATGAAAGGACAAGCCACACACTGGAAGAAAAGTTTTGCAAAAAGATATACCTGATAAAGAATTGCTATCCAAAAAATACAAAGAAGTCTGAAAACTTGACAATAAGACAACAAACAAGCTGATTTAAAAATGGCTCAATACCTTAAAACCTACCTCACCAAAGAAGATATACAGATGGCAAATAAATATATGAAAATATATGCTGCATATCAGATGTCATCAGGGAAATGCAAATTAAAACAACAATGAAACACTACTACACACCTGTCAGAATGGCCCAAATCCAGAACACTGACAACACCAATTACTGGTGAACTGTGGAGCGATAGGAACTCCCGTTCATTGCTGGTGGAATGCAAAATGGCACAGCCACTTTGGAAGACAGATTGATGGTGTCTTACAAAACTAAACATATATTCACCCCATGGTCCAGTAATAATGGGTTTGGTATTTATCAAAAGGAGTCAAAATATGTCCACACAAAATCTACACACAAATGTTTATAGCAACTTTATTCATAATCACCAAAACATGAAAACAAACAAGGTGTCATTCAGCAGGTGAATGGATAAACTGTGGTAATATACAGACAATGGAATATTATTCAGTTCCAAAAAGAAATGAACTATTAAATCATGAAGGAAACTTAAATGTATATTACATTACTAAGAAAAAGAAGCCAATCTGAGAAGGCTACATACTATATGATTCCAATTATATGACATGTAAACCTATTTTTTGCTAGGAGGTAGGTTTGCAGTGATATATAATTGACATGTACTATTTGGTATTTCTTTTTATAACTTTTTCTGCTTACTGTATCTACGAAACACAAAGGTAAAATAAACTAATGGACTAAACTGGAGAATCAAAATTCAAAATAATCTTGGCAGGTTGGTGTGATATGTGAAAATCAATTAGAATTGGCAGAGCTAAATATACACATACATACCTACATTTAAGTTAAAAATAAAGACTGGAAAGGGTGTAGAGACTTCATAACCAGTTTATAGAAAACAGTCTTAGGAAAATATTAAATAAAAGATTATGGTGATGAATAATTTTGGAAATGGATGTGGTGATGTTTGCACAATATTTTCAAATGCAACTAATGCCACTGAATTGTACACTTAAAGATGGCTACAATAGAAACTTTTATGTTATATATATTTTACCACAGTAAAAAAGACTATAGTAAAGTCACAGATATTTTGCATCTTTAAAGCAAATTTGCTTCTTAAAAAGCAAATGAGATCCAATATACTGGTCTGAACAAATACTGTGTCATATGTTATTTATTTCAGGATATCATATCACACTCTAAAGCACACACACAAAAAAATGACACTGAAAGTTCTAAGATTGCTGTCATTTTACAAAGAGCTGAAAAAATCATTTGTGATTACCCTAGAGGAAGCTTGTTCTACAGAGAACTGCAGTATTGTCATGTAGAAAGAGGAACATTTTCCATTGTATTCCACAAGTTGAAGTAAACCTAACCAGTGGAATACATCTATCTATTCAGTCTGCAAACCAAGTCTGTTGAATGCAGCCACGGATCATTCATTTGAACATTGATACACTTATGCAATTTTAAAAATGGGCAGATGAAGTGCTCGATAAAGAGAATTTTCTGGACTGATTGCTTAGGCTTCATGTTAAAACTAATCAAACCATAAGCCTACCATCTTGCCCATTGGTATGTCCTCAACTATGAGAAAAGTGCCTGTGAACATCCCAAATGTCCCCACTTCCATGTGATAAGCTCACAGATGAGAAGACCTAAGACGAGGCTCTCTCATGGATTACTGACATGTAAACTAGGTGATTCTGGCCTATATAAAGAAATTCATTAATCAGATGGAGGAACACTTTATTCAAATGCAAGGATCTGACCATAACAGTCTTCTTTTGTGTATACGTGGCAGTCCCATCTATATTTATCTGATCTCCTTTTTGGTTTTGATGACAGATAATAAAAAGTTCTTAGTCTTTACTCTTTAGCTCCAAATTTCTCTAAAACTTTCCAGAAAGCAGCCATAACATCCTTATTCCTCAAGCTGTAGATCAAGGGGTTCAACATAGGTGCCACCACAGCATAAAACAGAGCAACCATCTTCTCCTCTTCCACTGAAGAAGCTGACCGTGGCCCCAGGTAGGTGAAGATGGTAGCCCCAAAGCACATGCAAACCACAGCGAGGTGGGAGGCACAAGTCCCAAAAGCTTTCCTACACCCCTGAGTAGAACGAATGCGCAGAATGGTGAAAACTATACGACCATAGGAGAACAGAACAAGGGAACAAGGAACCATGAGCACCAGAAACCCCGAAATGGCCACCATGACCATGTTGAAGGAGATGTCCACACAGGCCAGCCGTAGCACCGCTAGGGTCTCACAGGTAAAGTGATTAATAACGTTGTGACACAGAGGAAGCCGAAAGGTGATGATTGTTTCCATCAGTGAATTAATGAAACCAGCCACCAGGCAGCCGGCAGCCAGCCCCAGGCACAGCCCTCCGTGCATGGTGACTGTGTAGTGCAGCGGGTGGCACACTGCCACGTAGCGGTCATAGGCCATGGCTCCCAGCAGGAAGAACTCAGACCCGCCCAGTGCCAAGGATGCATAGAGCTGGAGCACACAGCTGGGGAACGGGATGGACTTCCGGGCTGACAGGAAGTGAACAAGCATCTGGGGGACAGTGCTGTTGGTGTAACAGATGTCGACAAATGAGAGGACGCTGAGGAAAAAGTACATGGGTGTATTCAGCCTGTTGTCCAGTCTGATAAGTAGGAGGATGAGGAAGTTCCCCAGCACAGTCACCAGATACATGGCCAGGAAAAGGACGAAGAGGGAGACCTGAGTCTCCCAGCAGCTGGACAGCCCCAGCAGAATGAACTCACTCATCCACGTCTGGTTTTCCCTGCCCATCAGCCTCTAAAGACCAAACCTAGTTATAAGCCAATAAATATCAGACACTTAAGGCGGCAAAAGGCCTGAAAGTTCATTTATACCAAATAGGCATCTAATATTAAATGATTTCCCAGATTGCATGTTTCCTTCAGGGTTGGGGATCACAATAGAACCCACTGATGTGGCTCAGATGCAAGAAGAGAAGAAAACTCTTCTTCCTGAAGTAGGAAAGGTTTTATTAAAGTGTTTCGACAAAGATTAACTGGAAAACGTGATTCTCTTTCTTAGAGCCGATTCATAACCCTGGAGTGTGTTTACTTCTTTGTTGAAACCAGTTTTTCCCTCCTTAACTCTCTCAAAATCCATATTGAATGGAACCTGATTTTAAGTCTGTCCTAATTCACTGGAGGGAGGAGAGTGGGAAGGATAATGGAATAAAGATGTAACACCAATAGTAAAAAGAATAATTTTTTAACCCAAAAAATGTTAAGAGGTACAATACAATGTTTAAAGCATTTTTTGAAATTTTGATATATAAATAGAAGTTAAAACAGGTTTTCAAAAGTAAGGTGGAGGTGTATAACTGACAATAATAGTAAACATAAACAGCATTCCTGCACCTTTTCTTCCCTGAATTGTGATTCAAGCTTCATAAACATCACAAGCGTTCTTCTTAAAAAAAGAAAGCCACCTGGAAATCTTGAGATTGCCACAAAATGTTAATTGGCTAAGCTGTTCTCCCCACCACTTGACAAAGCACGCCTATATTGCTCAGAGGAACAGAAAGTTTAAAGCCAGTTATCCAGAGGAAGTTACCTTCTGACCATTATTATTTAAGAATGAGCGGTCAGCACAAACCTGTCCTCTGGGTGCAGATTTCCGGTGGGCGGGTGCTGAGGGGTGCAGTGCAGTGCAGTGCAGGAACACGGCCTGTATGTAGTAGCTAAGCCCAGTGATTCATTCCTATGAATGCAGTCAGACCTGTGCGAGGTGCTTCGTTTCTCAGACTATCTGAAAACACTTTCTCCTCAGGTTGGCTACTCAAGATGTGTTTTCTTAAAACCAAGTGCCAAAACAGGACAGTTCTCTCTCCAGTAACCAAATTCAATCCAATTGAATGAGCCAAGGAAGAAGCTTTGTGCTAAGGAAACCCTGGTTTCCTGACCCGTGGTCCTGAGAACCTACTGGAACGCCTCTGAGCATGGCTGCCTTGCCTTCAGGACAAGAGGCATCAGGGCTGGGGAGGGTGCAGGACTTGGAAGGAATAACTTTCTTTTCCCTCAGAGATAAAATCTCTACAGACCAATTATGCTGTGCCTGCCAGGCTTCTGTTAACTTCTTCTCTGTATTGATTCCCTCACCTTAAACTCTCATCTGCATTTAGGAGAATTTAGCTTTTCCTGACCCCGGAACATGAGAAGAGAACCCAAAGGCCCAGTTCCCCAGTCCTCCCGAGACATCCTCCTAAGTCTTTGCTGAAGTTTCACTTGGAGGAGGTTATAACTTGCCGATGACTTTCTGTCCATGTACTCATGATTGACACTATTTAACCCAAAGTCACCAATTATTCAGGGATCTTTTAGCAACATATCCCATAACATGACTGTAAAGTTGTACACAAGCTATGATCAAATATCCTCTTCATAACTGCTGCAACTATTTTGTGAGACTTTCCCCTTTTATCTCACTGTTAGAAGGTTCCTTTTGGCTGAGCATTGCCAAATTATGTAACTATTTTTGTATCTGGATGTCTGCCCTCATATTCTGTGAATACTACAGATATTTGCTACCCACTTTAAGCACCTCCAATTATATCTCCGTTCTACTGATATACACTTAGGTTGTTTCTAGTTTGTAGCTATTTGCAAACAATACTGCTATGAACATTCACACACACCATACACACAAACACACACACATACACACACTCATCTTTTGTCCTATATATGTATTCATTTCTATTGCCTAGTAGAATTGGTGCATCATAGATTATGTACATGTCCAGTTTTAGCTAATATTGTCAGTTTCATCAAAACAGTTGTACTGATTCAACTCCCACCAACTATATATGAGGATTTCTTTGCTCTACGTCTTCTCTACATTTGGATTGTAAGTCCCTTTTCATTTTAGCCATTCTAATGGGTATATTAAGTGGTATCCATTAGTCTTGGCAATGGATTACGGTTTACTCTAAAATATTTTCAATATCATTTGATGCAAGGAGAGAAACAAAGATGGGGTTAGTCCCAACCCTTAGAAAATACCTATTAATAGGTAACAGGGAAAAAACAAATATTTATTTTCTTTAAGAAGAAAAATATTAAAACTATAAAATAAGTCAAACATCATAAAAATTATCTTAAAATATATGTGAAGAAAACAAGAGAATACATAACTCCTCTGAGCTCTGTCTAATGCAGGACGAGAGAATACCCTCAGACACTGATAGAGCCACAGCTATTATACCAAAGCCATTACTTGGGATTTTAGAAAACCCTACAAATAAAACCACTTATCCTAAAGATGGTAAAATCTTCTAAATTTCAAAACAAGAAAGAAATACACGATAAGAAAAAAATGTTAAATAGACTTCATCTTCTAAGAGGAATGCTGGGTTATTGAAAAGAATTTTACTTCGGCAATATATTTGATGGCTTTATTGGGAGTTCTATCAAATATTAAACAAACAAACAAAAAAAACACTTCCAAATTTACACAGGACTTTCCAGAGGAAAGAAAAACGGGGAATCATATCTTAATTCATTGTATGAGGTTAGGGTGACCAGCATACCAAAAATTGACTGGGAACATAAAAGAAGGGAAAATTATACTTCTGGCTCACTCAGACAGATGGACAGAAAACTCTCAAAAAAAATAATAGCGGACTCCATCTATCGATCTATAAAACTACTTAATGCATCATGACAAACTTTGTTTTATTCAATAAGACTTGTTTAGTATCAGGACACAAATGATGTTATTAAATACATTAACAAATTAAAAGGAGAAAAAATCATATGATATTAATATAGAAAATTATTTTAAATTTAACATATATTAATAATTTTTTAAAATAGAGAACATTAATCTGATAAAATGCTTATAGAGTAAGCATCATACTCATTGCAGTTGTTTTGAAAGTATTCCCTGTAAGTTCAGAAACAAAATAATAATGTTTGTTATACTCATCTCTGTTTAACATTATACTGGTGTTCCTAGCCAGTGCAAGAAGACAGGAAAAAAAATAACAATAATGTGAGGACTGGAAAAAAATAATAGTATTGATATTTTATTTGCATAGTATATAATTTTCTATACAAAGAATCCAAAAGAATCTACAGATAAATTATAATTAATAAAATAATTAGGCATGGTTGTTGGATTAAATAAATCAATTCCAAAGTCACTGTGAATTCGGTTTCTGGCCATAATGGGATAAGAGGGATGGTACTTATACTCCACTCCTCAAACAACTAGAAAACTGAACAAAATATATGAAGCAATGGTTTTCATACATTGGACATAAAGCAGTGCAAGCCAGTGATCCCTGAGAGAAGGAACCAAATGAGGTGAGCCACAGGTGCCCCTGCTCACTGACTAGAGAGAGTTTCCAGGGCACAGGATGAGGAGAGGGAGCCCAAACAGAGCCTGTGATCATCCCGAATTGAAAAGGCAGAGGTCATAGTTTGGGACATAGTACCAAGAGAAAGAAGCTACAAAGAGAGGGGACTTTTTTAAATCTGAAGATGAATATCCTTAAATCTTTTGCTAACTACTGATCTTTGCATGATGTGAGAAACCTACCAAAGCCAAGGAAAGAACCACCAGAAATGAGGGAACAGAGTGATCTCTAGAGGTAACACAGGGCCCAGAACAGCTCATGCTCTCACCAGCCAGAAAGGAAAGTCCTCTAACACAGAGACATCAAGCAGAGTCCTCAGGAAAGTACAACCTCAGTAGTGGTACAAATTGACCCTATACTTTGGCCTGTTCTAGATCCAACTTTACAATTCTTCAAAGAAAGCCTCAAAAGATCAAATAAATTCCAAACAATTTAACTGTGTTCCAGAACAAAGTACAGAAATATTTAAAGGAAAAAAAAATACCCAACAGAAATTCACATCCATAATCCAATAAAAATGTTTCTAGGCATGCCAAGAGGCAGAAGAGTTCCCAGGCCACAGCACAAGGAAGGGAAACCCAAACAAGCCACAATGAGTGCAATCTCTACAATGAAAAAAAACCGGATGAAATCAATAACCAATTAGACACTACAAGAGGAAAAATGAGAAAAAATAAAAGAAATAAAGATATATGAAGTCATGCAAATGATAAAAGTATTCATCAGGAGCAGAAAAAAATACAAGCAAAGTTAAGGATATAAACTAAGGAAAAAAGTAATAAGAATGAGAGTAGTAATCAATGAAAGGAAAACAGAAAAAGAGAAAATAAGGAAATCAAAAGCTGACTTAGTAAGACTGATAAATTTCTATTCAGGCTGATCAGAAAGAAGAGAGAAGTTACAACTTATCAATGTAAAAAAAAAAAAAGAAAGGGGTTTCATTATTACTGATCCTACAGACATCAAAAAAATAAAAACATAACACCTTGACTATATTTCATGTCAATACATTTGACTACTTAGATGAAATGGAAATTTCTTGAAAGATACATGTTGCCAAAGCTCACACAAGAAGAAATAGATAACCTAAATAATCCTTTATCTGCAAAAGAAATTGATTTTGTAGTTTAAAACCTTCCCACAAAGAAAACAACAGGACCACTGGTTTCTCCAGTGAATTACACCAAACATTAAAGGAAGAAATATTACAAATTCTACCAAACTCTTCTAGAAAGTTGAAGCACAACTTTCCCCAACTAATTATTTAAGTATAACCCTGTACCAAAAACATTACAAATAATAATAAAAAAAAAACCACTACAGGTCGAAATCACTCATGATCATAGATACAAAAAATGCTTTTAAAAATATTAATAAAGTGGGCCGGCCGAGTGGCGCATTGGTTAAGAGCTGGCTTGGGATGCCAGAGGGCCCTGGTTCGGATCCCACATATGAGGGCCAGTGACACTGCCCTCTATAGCTGGGATGCTGAACAACAGCTCAACCTGGAGCTGGGCTGCCATGAGTGGCTGGCGACGGCAGATGGGTTGCCATGGGCTACCGTGTGTGGCCGGCAGCCAGCGTGAGCGGCCAGCAGCCGCTGTGAGAGGCCATCCAGAAGCCGGAGACTGAGCTGCGTCACCCGGGAAGAGTGCAATGATGGTGCCAACTTGGGCCAGTGAGGCGACGTCCTCCACAACTAGACTGAAGAACAAAACGACACAACTTGTCTGTTTCCCTTCCCCCAATTACCCAATAAAAAAATAAAAAAATATATTAGTAAAGTGAATTCAGCTATATTTTTAAAATGTATTATTTCCAAGTTGAGTTAGTTACAGGAATGCAAGTTAGTACAACATTCAGTTGATCAATACTCCTCAAGTGTCAAGGCATGAAAGACAAAGAAAGACTGGAACTATCACAGAATGAAGGAAGCTACAGATAAATGACAAGCAAATGCAATGTGAATCCTGGATAGCATCCTAAATTTTTTAAAAAGTAATTAATCCTCTCTGATAAGGACACCTGTCATACACAGACATGCAGAGAGAGAAGAAGGCCATGTGAACACACAGGGAGAAGACGCCCATCTACAGGCAAGGAGAGAAGTCTCAGAAGAAAGCAACTCTGCCGGCACATTCATCTCAGACTTCTAGTCTCCAGAATTGTGAGAAAATGAAGTCCTGTTGTGTAAGCCACCCACTCTGTGGTCCTCTGTTATGGCAGTCCTTCCAGTGAATTAATAAAACAGTAGAAATGAGATGACAGATATAAAAACACTAAAAAACCCTATTCTAAAGTAAGACTGTCCAAATTAACAATACAAGTAATGTTGAACCCATATCCCAATGTGCTCGATGCATGATTCACCTCTTCTACTCACTCGTTTGTGTGGAGTCCTTAGATTTTGGGCACTTGGACCTAAATAACTATGGTAAATGAGATATTTTCTGAAATGCAAACTGAAGTGAGAATCACTTCATCTTCTCTCAGAAGACTTCACCAATGTAACCCTCAGTACACATCCAGAAAACAAAAATCCCTTCTTTTCTTGAATTTCCAGAGCTCCTTCCATGTAACCTTGGGTTATTATTTTGCATTTTTGTCCTATTTTCCTATAATTGTATAGCAAACTACAGCCCACATATCAGATTTTGCCCACCCAACGGTCTTGATATGGCCCATAAGAAAAGAATTTTAAAAATATTTTTAAATAGTTGAAAAATCAAAAGAATAATATTGTATGATGTGTGGAAATTACATGAAATTCAAATTTAAGTGTCCATAAATTAAGATTCATTGGTACTAGGGACACTCGTTCTTTTATGTATTGTATATGGCTGCTTTAGTGCTGCAATGGCAGACATACGGCCCACGAAGCCTAAAATATTTCCTATCTGGCCTATTACAGGAACAACCCCTGGCTTAGAAGACTGTCAGTTTCCTGAGGTGAAGACCATGACTAAACACAACTCTGATACTCCTACAATGCCTTCAACAAAGTGGATGCCCACAAAATGAACACCTGTAACTTTGTTAGAAAAGGCTGCGAATCAAGATAAAGTTGGTCACATGAAAGGAAAAATTTGAACACCGTGGCTTTGTAACTAGGGGACTGGGATGAAATTCAGTGATACTTAGGTGGAGAGTGATGTCCACAGCTAAAGGGGACTCATTTTCCTATACCTCATGTGGACTTTTAACCTTCATCATTCTCATATCTCTTGTTCCTGCACCCCCTCCTCTGCACTCTCAACAACGGGCACCACATCATGTTTCACAGAAAAAATGTGGACCGTTGGATGCCCTCCAACTTCTGATCCCCCACTTCCAAATGCAAATTGACTGACTTAATGAATAGACAAAGGAAAGAAAGCAAGGTCCCCCTCTGGGACTTCCTGAAGACAGTGAGAGACCCAGTCTCCCTTCCCTTACCTACCCCTTGTTTAGTCTTTTCTCCTCCCTGCCCCATTTTACTTTATTTAGGTTTGTCGGCACAGGCAAGGTGCCCTCATAGATGATGCCAGCTCACTAGGTTTACAAAGGTTAGGTGGGCCTTGTGGGGAAGGGGCAGTACAAGGCGGCTCTTAATGTGGAGACTTGAGGGTAACATCTGCACAACAGACTGGCCATCCTGATAACCCCAAATCCACATGAAACCAATCATCTCTCATTGGCTTACCTAAGAAAATTGCTTCCTCTGACTAGGTCTTTGATGTTTTATACATTTATCTCATTGTTTAATTGCTTATTTTGTTTCCCAAGTTTCAGAGAAAAAGTTTGCTGAATTATCAGATATTAGACAGTTTTATTTACCTTTTGAATGAGATCCCATATATATGTAATATTTCTTGTCAAATTACTCATACACTATTTAGCAGTAAGTGAATTTCAGATTTTCCTTAGCCAATAATATCACTATATACAAACAACCATTGGTTATATCCTTATCACAGTAAACAAGAACTTTTGTTTCTCCACTCAATTATTTCCATTACTCAGACAGAGTTTGTATGTCCACAAATAGTAGGCCCTACACAAAAACATTTAATCTACCTTGATCATAATCTCCTCAGAATAGTGTCTCATACAATTACTGGATGTAGCTATATACAACAGACATTATTTTAAGTGAGATTCATATATGAAAATCATTTTGTTCCCAATAACACTACAATAACCTTGTACAAAATTTGGATGAATAAGAACCAGTGGTACAAATTAAGATCCATGACTACGTCGATGATTACAAACAATGTGACAAATCAAAACAGGAAATGGTATTTTCTTCAATTACTCTCAGGTAATATGAACGGAGACTGACTGTGGTAAGTTCCGTTACAGCAGTGCTTAACTCCTCTGAACAGGCTCCTGTGACATAAAAATGCCCTCACATCTCACACCCCAACCCAACCACTCAGCCTCCTACCCCACATCACCAGCACACGGCTCATCTTCCTGGTTGCCATGGCAATGCAGTTGATGCCTACCATATCTGAGCTGCGTGGGAGAAAACGCATGCAAAGCTCTTTTCTCTAAGTGATGCTCATGATTCATCAAATTGCCAATTTTGACGTAAATCCAGATAATTTCCCTAATAGTTTCTGCCATGCCCCTTTCACCTCCTTATTCCTTACGCTGTAAATCATGGGGTTTAGCATGGGCGTCAAAATGGCATAGAAGAGAGAGATCAACTTCCCCTGAAGGACAGAGGGGCCAGAGCGGGGCTGGATGTAAGTGACAATGGCCATGCCATAGCACAGGACTACCACGGTGAGGTGGGAGGCACAGGTTTGAAACGCTTTCTTTCTTCCCTCTGTGGACTGGATCTTTAGGATGCTGGAGATGATCTGTACATAGGACAACAGTACCAGGCAGAATGGTGTCATCAGCAGGACTATGCTAGAAACCATGATCGCAATCTCGTTGGAGGAGGTGTCCACACAGGCCAGCCTGACCACAGCTAGGAGTTCGCAGGATATGTGATCAATACACTTGTTGGTGCACATGGGCAGCTGAAAGGTGATGGCGGTCTGCATGAGAGAGTTGACAGAGCCACTGGCCCAGGATGTGGCGGCCAACCTGGTACAGAGCCCTCCATGCATGATGACCGAGTATCGCAGGGGGTCACACACAGCCACATAGCGGTCATAGGCCATCACTGACAGCAGAACAAACTCAATCCCGCCCAGGCCCAGGGAGAAAAATAGCTGGGCTGCACAGCTCACGCGTGGGATTGCTTTCTGTTCTGCAAGAAGATGCACCAGCATCTGAGGGACGATGCTGGTGGCATAAGAGACATCGACAACGGAGAGGTTGGTGAGGAAGAAATACATGGGAGTGTGAAGTCGGCTGTCCAGTCTGATCAGAAGAACAATGAGGAAGTTCCCCAGCACTGTCAGCAGGTACGTGATGGAGAACAGGACAAAAAGAGAGACCTGAGTGTCCCAGTCACTGGACAAGCCAAGGAGAATAAACTCTCTCACCCACGTCTGGTTATCTGTTCCCATTAAAAAATGTGAGGATTATTACTCTGTAGAGAGAGTCAGAAATAACAAGCTGTTGAATCAAAGAACCATAAAAATAACTTATACCTACTGTATACAACCGGCCAGCCTTAGTCATATGTTTCAGATCACTTATGGGCAATCATCACAGGCTTTATCCTGATATACATTATATCTCTTCTGCATCAGAGACAGGCCATCACCTTGATAAGGACAGATGTGGCCTCAGGGAGACCCACTTAAAGCCTGGAGATAATGCAGCTCAGTTTTAAGTCTCTATTTTTACCAACTTGCCTCAGATTTAAAGTGAGGAGAGCTTGATAGGTGACAATGGCAGGTAAAATGATAAACAATGAAAAAAAACCCAGTTGGAAAGTTACAAAAACCACCTTAAATATGTCAACTAGGCCCATCTTGATGAAATGGGTAAAGCTACTACAAAAAAAGTATTGGGAAGAAGCTGGGGCTTGTGAAAAAAAATCTGGAATTAGAGAACCTAGGTTTGAAACCTGATTTTATTGAGCAGCTATGAGATTTTGATTTAGTGACATCCTTTTATATATGAAACAGGATGATATTATACAACTTGCAAGTACATTTAAGCTGAAATGTAGGTAATGTTGGAGAAAGTACTCTGTGAACTGTCCCGGAAGTAGCACTATAGTAGGATGAAAATTAGTAACATGACCTCCGCCTTGGGGTAGATAAGGTAACAAATGTGATTTTCCAATGCACACCCTCCACAGATTCAGACCTTAATAATATTGAAGGTGATCTTTAATAGAACTGAGGGCTCAGGACTATTTGGGTGCCTGTGGGGACCTGGGGACCCTTTGTCTTTGTAATGGCCTTTGATCTCTTCAGCCTCAGTGGCACACAATGGGCTAGGGGATTGTAATTGCATCCTGTTCCTTTTGCTTGTCTCTTTCCAACTTGCTGCTGTTAAGAATCTACTATTTGTACACGGGCTCAAAGTAAAGAAAGTGAGAGTTTGGATGTTTGACTTTCTATTTACAAGAGAGGAAGGGAAGCAAATGTTTAAGGACTCTTCACTGTCTAAGGCAGAGAAGGCATGAACTCATGGAGATGTGCGTTGGAATGGAGTTTCCCTTGTGTTTTATTTTGTCCCAGAAGTGCTTTCTCAACAGAACTATATGTTATAATACCACTTTTGAACATTAAACGAAAACTGTCTACAGTCTTTAAAAAATTTATAGGACCAATTTATTCTTATTTATCCATGCCTACATATTCACTACCTTTCCTTTCCTTGCAGTGTACAAAATAAGGGAAAGGAGGAGGTGAAGGCGGTAAGAGAGCTCGAGAACAGAAACAGAGCTGCCTGCATCATTCCAAAACCCACAAGGGCAGGCAAGGGTTTCTGAGCAGAGAGGTGCAGGCTGTCTACACTTCAACACTCTTATCTGATAAAGGACAAAAAAAAAAAAACAAGTAGTTCCAGAAACACCCATCTCTTTCATGGTTCAAACATATGCATTTTTATCAACCTCTTTCCTAACATCCTACCCAAACCTGACCTCCCCTCTTAATAGTTCCTCCTCCTTTCCTGCTCTATAACAATCTTTCCACCACCACCCCTCACTCTGCTTTTCTTCAATCATGGTCAGACTGAGAAAACATTGACCTGCCTCAAGGAAGACTTTCTAATTTAATTCTAAACCATCAAGAAAATATTTGATTTTAAAAATCTGTTAGCTATTGTTGAATACACAGAAGTGCAACAGAAAGTAAATGTTTTTTTCTCTATTAATTTGGCAAACATCTATAAAGTGTCATCTTTGCAGCTGGCTATTTCAAGGTGATTATTACACTTCCCTGTGCTCAAAGATCTGAAACTAACATAAAATAATATTGAATGTCAACTGTAACTGAAAAAAAATTTTTTTAATAAAAAAGATCTGGGGCCGGCCGAGTGGCGCGATGGTTAAGAACTCGCTTGGGATGCCAGAGGGCCCCGGTTCGGATCCCACATATGAGGGCCAGTGACACTGCCCTCCACAGCTAAGATGCTGAACAACAGCTCAACCTGGAGCTGGGCTGCCATGAGTTGCCGGCGACGGCGTAGGCTGCAGTCCCTGTGGCAGTGGGTTGCCATGGGCTACCGTGTGTGGCCAGCAGCCAGCGTGAGCGGCCAGCAGCCGCAGTGAGCGGCCGTCCAGAAGCCGGCGACTGATCTGCCTCACCCGAGAAGAGCGCAATGATGGTGCCAACTTGGGCCAGTGAAGCAACGTTCTCCACAACTAGATGAAGAACAAAAAGACAGCAACTTGTCTGTTCCCCTTCCCCCAATTCCCCAGCGCTGTTCCCATCCCCCCAATTCCCCAATAAAAAAAAAATAAAAATAAAAAAATAAATAAAAAAGATCTGACCCATCCAAAAAAGATATGACACAAAAGAGCTCATCACCCCATCACTTGTCCCCCTGTTGCATGTGCAAGCTGCCTGGAGAACACAGTCCTCTTACACATCCCACATGTCTCGCTACCAATGAGTGACAGTGTCACATCCCACAGAAAGTAGACCTTCAGGGCCCAACCTCTTCTGCTTCCTGGGACCTAAAGCAAGCCCCTTGGCCTCTCTGAGTCTCATAGTTCTTCATCTGTAAAATGTGGCTGATATTGGTCAACTGAAAGGGTCACTGGTGACATAAGGAGTTGAAGATCCAATGTCCCTATACTAGTGACTGAACTCGGGCAGGGTCCCATTATTTGATAGCTGACCGAACCTTTGATTTCATACTCTCTAGCTCTCTTAGGGTCTTACCCTTCATACAGTCCTCTCTTTGCCATCCTGGGGTTTCCTGAAGAACCCCTTTCCCTCATTACAAAATACACAGACCTCTGAATATGGGAAGAGGAATCTTGGCTATTTGTCATTCTAACTATTTATTCCTTTCACATCCAGAGTTCTCAAAGGATACGTATCTACTTGCAGGGTTTATTTCCTCATAATATTCATCCTTTAAACCATGGAAGTTTGGTTTTCAGCTTCACAAATCCAAAGAAATTGAGCTTTGAGAGGTCACTCGTGGCTTTCTAGTCATGAAATCCAGCCACTTTCATTTGATTTTTATTGTTCACTTAACTTTTAACAAGGTTAACTATTTGCTCCTTCAAACTCTCAACTCTATCATATGCTTTTGTTGTGATTTTCTTCCAATCTATTATTCTCCTTCTGCATTCTTGGGTAATTTTTCTAAATCCTCCATTACTCTGTACATTTTGTAAGGTTCTGTGCTCACAATTTGTACTCTTATATTCATTATCTTACATTCATTGCTTATCTAATTATATACTCTTTCTAGTTGTTGGTTTTTTTGTTCCTTGAAGGGCTTGTGATTTCTAACTGCAATAATTATTATTGATGTATTATATGTAGTTCACCCTCAATTCAACATTTATCTCCTAGACGTCTCTCCAAGGATCTAGATGCTTTCCCCAACAGCTTAATGAATGTGTCATAAATAGCTAACCAATGCCTCCACTTGTCTCGCCACACACACTGTTCCCTCCTGACTTTTCTATTTCTATAAACAGAACTAAAGTTCCCCTAACATAGGATCCCTCCTCCTCACCACTCCACAGAATCAATTCTTACTTTATTTTTTAATTACACATCTCCCACCTTTCCCACAGTGTTCATTCACAAGCTTGCCCTCGTCATTCCCTATCCTATGGAGTGTCACAGCTTCCTTATAAATTTACTTGACACAACTCCCATCCACTCCACACATCCTACACACTCCCTCCAAATTAATCATGCAAAATACAGATTGATTCACATCACTTTCATGCACAAACAGATCTATGATGTCTAAATGTATACAGAATGAAGCTTATCCTGGACAGAAGAATTTCCATACAACCCACAACCTGGGTCTGCCCTATTTCTCAATTTTATTTTACTTTCTATAGTATTAATACTGTACTGTGTGTTTCACAGCAAAGTATTTTTTTAAATAACTGAAATACCTTTCTCTGATATGTTAGCTGATTATTTTCAGCCTACCAAGGCTGCTATTTATTTCCAGAGACCACGCCTTATTTCAAAATCATTAATGCCCAAATATACCTTTTGTCCACACTCATATAGTCCCTTTGGGATCTAATGGTAGATAAAGAAAATAGAAATGTCATCAGCATTTGGAAAGCCAAATGAAGGAGGAAACGTGTTCACCAGATGCTCTCAGCACACCTTGCATTTAATACCCTCCCCATTACTTTGGGATCAGCTCCATCTCAATAGAGCTGGGTTAGGGTGGAGAATGGGTGAGTGCCTGATAATGTGCTTCACATCACACTGGTCCTATCAGGAAGCCAGAACATGGTCTTCTCAGCTCTAACTAGTTCACAGGATCTACAGATTTCCCTAAATATGTATTTTTCATTGAACTCAAATACTAAGGGGAAAATGTGGGAATATTTTCTCCATTTGTCTATACAAACAGCCATGCAGCTGATAATCAAAATCAGTGATAAACAATGAGCATAGTTAAGAACCAGATCTATTTAGCTCTTCGAGTGTGTTTTGGGTTCTCGTCTCAGTATCTGTCCTAACTCTGGCTTCTTTACCTTTTTTTGCCAGGTCCATAATGCTCCCTTAATAAATAACAAAATCCTATTTTACATATTTTGGGTTATATCATGCTTGTACTCAACAAATGTCAAGCCACACTTCTCTACATATGTTTTGAGCTTTCTTTGTTTACTCAAAAATAAACCATCTATGCTGCCTCCTCAGAGCATAGAATAGAATAATGACATACCCCTGGGGTTCATCTCCTTAGACATGACACCATGCAGGAGGGACTTCTTCATGCCTAGTTTATAAATTATGGCTGATGTAGGGTAATTACTGTGACCGTATATAGCCCATTATGTGACTTAGTATGAAAGGTGCCATAGAAACATTCCAAAAAATTATCTCTTTAAGGTATTGTTACTAATGTCTGAAATCTGTTACTTTTATGTTGACTGTTATCCTCTGGTAAAATGTTTAAATATGAAGTAAACCCATACATATATGGACAACTAATTTATG